TTAAGTAGACTGCGTCTCCATTTTCTTGAGATTGAGATAAAGTCGATTTGATTTTTAGTGTGTCCTGTGTCTGGTGAAGTCCATGTCGCTTTGTGGATATCTTTGTGCCTGAACACACTGCCTCCAATCACCAAATCGTTGAATGCGCAGAATTCTGCAAACAATTCTCCATTCTCATTCATTTCACCTAGCGCCTCTCGACCCATGGTTGGTTCTCTTCCTGTGTTGTCCCCTCCCAGTTTGGCATTCATGTCACACCACCCATTAGAATGTTGATATCGCCAACTGACGTCTTGTCCAGTGTTGATTGAAGGTTCTGTAGAATTCCTCCTTTTTCTCTTCATCTGCATTATTTGTAGGTGCATAACATTGTATGATTGTGACCTTTCTTCCTTTTGAGTTGAATCTTGCTGTCATGATCCTGGAGGAGATTGGTTCCCACTGCATGAGAGAGAGCCTTCGATGCTCTTGGGGACATCATGATAGCCACTCCATAACTCAGTGTGCTCGTAGTTGTCTTCTGGGTGATCGGAGTAGATTATTGATTCTCCAGTTGACAGTATGGAGAGTCCACTCCCATTCCATCTGCTTTCGCAAATCCCAAGCACTTCGATGTTATACCTTCTCATCTCCCTTGCAATCTGGGCTGCCTTACTGGGTTCAAACATCGTACGGACATTCCATGTCCCCATGTTTACTTTCGCTTTCATCGAGGGAGAGAAGACACATCGGCCAATCGGCTTCCCGAAGGCTTTCACCAACTGGCGTCATTTCGCCTCTCCGATTCCAGCGGAGAATAAGTTTGTTTTCATTTTTTATATTTTGTTTGTGCTTTGAAGTTTCTTTAGCGGTTAGATTTGTTTTAGGGGGTAGGGTTGCTAGCCCTATGCCCAACCTTCCCTCTTTACCCGGGCTTAGGACCGGCTAGTAACTAGTAAACTAGTTAACCAAGCGAGGCATCGACAAATGAAAAGTGACTTTATTTTGGATTTCGTTGTATTCAGTAATAATTTAGGGGCCAAACTTTCCTATTTATTTCTAACGTCCATGATTTAAAGCTTGAGAGGATATTACCCTAGTGACCAAAGACAAAGGTTAAACCCTTGTCCTTAAAAAGTTTGTTTCTCATAAATTGTCCCTAATCTGTCGAATTCTCTGCCACAGCAAACAGTTAAGCTCTTAGACTACCTAATTTCGAGCAACACTAGATCTTTTTTAGGTTATTCATTGTGTTGATTGTCGAAGGCCTCAGTAGTGCAATCTTTATCCCTTCAACGTGTACTGAAGTGTTCAATGTGTTTAAGCATCTCATAGAAACTTGGCATTTACTGTGCGCGCTATCCAAAGTTGTTTCTTGTTCAATGTGTGTGGTTTGTTGGCTTCGTATTCCGTTTATTGGTTCGTGTTTAATTCATTTTGTTAATGTAGCGTTTAAAATATCGAGATATAATAATGCTATTTTTCGGTATTTGAAACTCCCTTAAGGTCCTATATTGATCTTTGTATACGCGGTAACCAGTTATTTGTGTATAGACCGTGACCTTTGAGGATTTCCTTTAGGTCCTACTACTATGTATTGTGAACTTAATTAAACAACTGATTTTGACTAAATTTGGAATTACGTATTCTTACACGCTTGTGTGCTACATATTTAACCCGTAACTTCGAGGTAATAGTAAACCTTCGTGGTTAGTATGCTCGAAGTGTATGTGTACATCAAAAACTACTATCCAGATAAAATGAATTCTTAAAACCTTTTTAAATATTTTAGTCGTACTTGCCTTTTCCTATTCTCACCTATCTCAAAATCTATCTCTTTCAGTGTTCGTAATAAAACGACGTGTATTACTCATGTTTTTAATGGATTTAAGAATTGTTCGTATACCACCACTTATCTGAGAGTTGAACTATTGCCTGTTCAGTTGCTAGAGCTTATTCCTGCTTATCACTGCCACTCAACCCTTGTTTTTGGTCTTGAATGGCTATTGACAGTGCAGTCCATTCACATGACTTAAGTGGGATGTATTCTTTAGACACCTTACACTCAAGCGCATCACAAACCAGTTATATTCCTAATCTGTTCATCCATAAAAGGCAACAGAATTATATTAGCCACATGTTTAGGGGAATCGTGATTAAAATGGAAAACTTAGAAAGGATCATATCCAGTTTCTGGTCATCCACTTGGTGGTGGCATGTTGATTTCTAACGAACTTGGGAAGTGGACTCTTTTGATCTTTGTTTTTCCTCATTTTACTTTTAATACCGCACTCCAGACATATGATTCCATACTTTTCACTGCCAGGATTTGGTGATATGAAGTGACTTCTTTTTTTATTTGCTCGTTGAAGCTATTGTTCATCATCAATATCAACATAGGGCCAGGCATTACTGTGTAAAGGTCCGAGTTGCCACAGCTCATTAGTACATCAAGCTATTGATCGATAGTGAGTGTTCTCATATTTCAACTGTCGGGCTGTGTTCAAATTCTATCCACTGGGAATTAAGTATTACTTTCTGCCTTATACTAGGCAAGGCTAATAACTCATTACATACATCTGCACTGGGTTATCAAGTTTCTGTAGTTAGATGCTAATGTTTGCTCTTCAGGTATACGAGTTCCGCTCTCATGACTTCTGCTTACAGCGCATACAATCGGGGAGTCATTTCTCGCTTTAAATCCCGTAGCATCTGGAAAAATTGCTCAGCTCATTACTGCGTACATCAAATAAATTCCTGCCCAGCACATGCTGTCCTTCCACAATATTCTTTTGCTTCACATCTTAGCTGGTATCGACTGATACCAACCCTTCTTGATGGAGGTTTTCCCGTAACCGTCAACCTCACTCGACTCATTTCGCGACCACATTACCTGTTCAAATCATTGGAATTGTTGTGGCAAAGTGCATATGTATATGCACACGAGTGGTATTGTGCAATACACCAGCACAGTGTAGACCGGTTGTAAATATTTGTGTACTGGTTGTGTAAGTCGAAAGTGGGGTTTACGTATTCTGTTTTACCGAGCAGCATCCATATTATGCTGTGCAAAAACGAGTGGTCTATTTCTTCTCATATCTCCCGGGCTCCTCTGTTAGCCGGTGGTTAGGATATGTATGTATATATATATATATATATATATATATATATATATATAATATATATATATATATATGCTGGATAAGAAACCAGCTGGACCGACTTATTTTTGTTTCCAGCGACACTAATAGGTTAATTAGTTCGGATGCATTCCAAATCAATATATCATAAAGCAGAAAAGACTCACGCATGAATGTCCCTGTCTAGAACACTCGAGACTATGTGAGCCATTAGTTGGGAACTCTTAATATTGTTCCACATCGATCGACCTAGATATTTGCAGTTTGTCATTTTCAATGACTTAAATATTTTCATTGATCGCTACCTATCGATTCTGTTTCTTCCTACATACTTTTGTCTGCTTCAATGTTATTCTTTTCCTATACACCTCTACGCACACTCCTGCTAAGTGTGGCAACTTTGGCTTTACTTCTGTGCCAACTTCTACATTGGTTTGTTTGTATGTATCTGCTTGACATGAGTCATTATAACTAGAGAACCGACTGACGTTTATGGGGAGTCGATTTTGAGTCATTAATGATAAGGCAATCAAAAGTGTTTTACACTTGGTTCAACCTTACAAATGGAGCTAAACTTCTACAGGACAAAGCAACATCTTCAAGTATTGAAGTAATATACAAAATGTAATTCATATCCCATAACCTTACTTTTATCAACCTGTTTCTAACAGTTTGTTAAGTTTACTGCTATTCCCGCACTGTCATAAAGTTTAATCCCCCATATGTTGAAAGGGAAGTAGATGAAACAATAGTATCTTTGATTGTGAAATTACTGCGAGCAGCTAACATCGAGTTGCTAAACTTTCGAACCTGCCTTGAACAACATTTCTGTTGTCTTTAATCGCTTTTAGGTGCCTGCTAACTTCCATTATTTTTATAAATGCAGATTCATTTGTATTTTATTGGTTTTTTATGCCTCGTCTTATTTGGATAATGTAATTAGAGGACGTAGATTATCTGAAAAATGTGATGTATTGAAAAGAAGCCTCGTCTTATGTTGATTTCCGGAACATTTACTGCACATGTATGTATACTATAGAGTTCCTCTTATCCACAAGTGTTTAGCACATATTCAACGTACAGTAGATAGGAGGTTGGAAACATCATAGTTAACCTCATTAAGGCCTATTTAAGATGTGCTGAAGTATTTCAAGTGCTTTTGGAATCCCCTGGGACTATTAAACTATTTTTGGGGCTAATTTCTGAATGCCCAATCGTCCACCAGTAGCTACTGACAATAAGGGGTTAGATTTTCATTTATGTGGATGAGGATATTTTCTTACATTGCTGTAGCAATTTATAGGCATTTTATGTGTTTAGTGAAAACAAAGGCTGAGAAATCCCTACTAGATTTCTTAGAAGGTATATGTGGTCTTTTGCTCATTGGTAAAAACTGTTGGCTTTGGAATGACTCATTCTTAGCTTCCAATAACAATTCTATAGCCACATATCCCATTATTTTGGGTATCTCCAGCATCTAAGTAACACTTATCTCAAACGATACACAAGAGATAAAAGGATCATTTGGTAACCAGGTTGATAATTTGCTTTATTATCCATCGGCTTGAGTTTAGTGCATGGTCTTAATTCGGGCACAGACTGTTGATTCGCTTCATGAGTACATATTAGTCGCTTATGCTGTATGTTAACAATTTCCGACATGACATTTCACTATCGTTTTGTGTACACTCCGAAAAACTGGGTAATTTTTAAAAAATCAGATATTATATTTCTTCATTTTCTAAGGCTGATTGTTTCTCTTTCCTGTCTTTTATCTGTAACAGGATATCAAACATTCGGATTTCAGAATACTTCATTTTAACCGTTTTGTGAAAAAGAAAATTTAATCAACAATCAACTAGGTTCACGAAATGAAAAAAAATGCGTGAGGGGAATCCAAATGAACGAACTGCACTCACCACTAGTGGTGGTGCAGATTCATTCGAAATTTCCGCAAAAGATTTGCAAAAATTAATGGACTGTCGTAAACTTGAAGCAGTTAAACATATCAACGAGAAATATGGTGGAGTTGTAGGATTATGTCGTTTGCTTAAAACATCTCCACAAGACGGTGAGTTATTATACCAACTAGAATAGTTCATAATGTTATATATGTTATGTTATAATATTCGTAACATTTTCGATCGCTGAAAATATTAGCAAATTGTATTGCAATATTTCTGTTGAGAAATATTTCATTTTCTAAGTTAAATGTTCATTTCATAAGCCTCCATTAAATCGTTCAACTGTCATCAAACTTCATGGATCCCCGTAAAGTATCTAACTGGTAGTTCTAGAGCAGACTAGCATTTTTAGGTTGGTAAAAACGTAAATAGTTTTAAGTTATCCCTTACATAAAATTATTGCTAGGTAACTGCCAATTCAAGAATTCATTGTAGTCAAGCAATATTGATGTTTATGATGAGTGATCAAACAGTTAGACCTGTGTTGAAGATTCTCTTGAGTTCAACAGTCTAATCTAAACAGCTATTCTCTTGAAGGGAATGTGACATTTATCTACCTTTCGATGCTTAAAACGTGAGGATATTTTGAAAGAGGTGCAGGTTGTTTTCGAGAAGTTTCAGTTGGATTGTCTGCAATCTTTGCAATCAATGTGTTTGTAAGAATCGGATGAGGGTTGTTTGTGAGTATAGTAGAAAACACTGTGGGTGGATCCAGTGAATATTTTTAAAAATTCAACACAACTAATGGACTATAAATACTTTGTGAAATCAGATACTTTGTTGAAAATGGTAAGACGTTATTACTATAAATATTTACTCTAGCACCAGTTGCCCATCTCATTTGTGTTGTGAAAGTAATTAAAATACAGCTATCCACGAAATATACAACATGCATTTGGAAATTTCTTTTGTTGCTTGCATAAAGTCAAACCATCGTCTGACGTGGCTTGGACATGTGTTGTGCATTCCAGTCGATCCACCGCCTCACTGATGGACTGATAAAATCAACGTAGAACCTCGCACACAGGTGCATCGGTTCAAGTTGCAACATTTCAGAGTAGTATACAAAGAACAGGTGGATAGAATAAAAATGATACAATAATAGACAAAGTTGTGTGTGAAAGAATAAACCGTTTGAATACTATGAAGGTTAGTGCAAATATTCAACCTTTAGGAGATGTTAAGGGGTGAATACATCTCCACTGTGGCTGATTTTTAGCCATTTAACCACTGAATCCTTTCGTTTCGGGGCCCCAGTCTACACCTCCCCATACAGCTCAAAGCAATAGTCAGGCACTTTATTGACTGGTACCACGTTTTGGTATGGCCACTCTGAACCCTATTCCGATCTAATACAGCTTTGTCTAACATGGCACATCCAGGTAGATGGTGGCTCGGGATGCGCAGTACATGTCCAAGCCTTCTCAGCTGATGAAAGTTCACAACTTTATCAATCAACCTACCTGTGTTGCCTAGTACCCTTTGCTTAACCTCAACATTCCTCACGTGGTGTTTTCAAAATAAGTTAGCAATGCCACGAAGATGCAGGTGGTCAAAACCGTTTAATCCCTTCATATCTACTTTTAATGGCCATGTCTCACAGCTACATAAAAGGACGGAACGGACTGCATCGCAGGATTGTCTTTCTTTAGTAGGTAGTTAAACATACCACCAGCCGGTGCCACAGGTGATGCAAGTGGGCGAATTTCAAATGGGTCTTCTGTATTCGAACTGAGATTGTATCAGCAACCACCCCGTTCGGGCTTATGCAGCTCTCCAAGCAAGTGAAGTGGTTGCCATATTCCACCACCACTTCATATTCTTAAACTAGGAGTAGTTGCAGACCACTCCCTGGAACAACAATTTAAATCTGACAGTGGGGATGCATGCCAAACACACTCAGATTTCCGCTCAACGCGTTCGAAAGACCCTGCATTGCTTCGGCGTCTTCACCCAGCCGAACAATATCGTCTACGTACTCTAAGTCACTCAGATAACCTCCAGAGATTAAGACAATCCCTGTGAAGTCAGATGTACCTAAAGTTGTCTGTTAGTATATCTTTAGCGAAACTAAGTAGTGACATTGAACATCCCTGGTAGACACCACTTTGTCGTCAGTTCGGATGACAACTCTACATAAACCCTTATGCAGCTGCGTGAGTTTGAGTAAGGAGCTTTGGTTAGCGTTATATACTTGCTTGGAACTCCTCTGCCAAAACACCTCACGGTCGACAGAGTCAAATGCAGCCTTCGGTCAAGAAATGTGGCACGTTTTGACCATCGACTGGTAGGTATGCCTGTGTTCCAGGACCTGTCGTAGGGTGAAAATATGATCAGTACATCCTCTTCAAGGTTTGAAACCTGTTTGGTTTTCTAGAGTTTGCTGTTATCGAGCTCCAGTTGGGGTTGGATGACTATTGACCTTAGAATCTTGGATATAGTACTAGTCAAGCTAATTCCCCTATGGTTGTCACAAGACTTCTTTCCTTTCTTATAAAGTAGGAAAATCAGTGAGGTAGAGCAGTGTGACGCCATTGCCTCTGATTTCTATACACTACCTAGTAGCTCCGTCACTTTATTTAGCAATTTCCTACCTCCATCCTTGAAAAATTTAGGTTCCAAACTGTTAGGTCCTGGTACTTTGAACCGTTCCAGGTTCGATACAACTTTCTCAACTTCTATGGGAGTTGAAGGACCAACATCTATGTCCCATTTAGGTTCAGGCTGGATACTGGGAAACTGAAGCGTCTCTGTGGGCTATTGAACTGTGCTTCAAAGTGTTCTGGCCAACGTTCTAGTCCCCTATCCTGGGAAAGTTATCAGTCTCCTCGCATCAGTCAGTTCGGGTGATGTCGCGGAAATCCAATGACGTTTGCTATCTTTCGGTGTAGGTTACCAACTATCTTCACATCTGTTTCTACAGCAGACCTGATATCACGCTAGGTATCCTCAGCATGAGCATTGCTGCCACGTCTCGATAAATGTTTAGCTAACTCCTCCCTAAATGCGTTTTCACCGTCCTCATATGCCAGCCGGCCAAAGACGGTCCCTACTGTCGCCTGTTTCCTGCGACCAGTAATTCGCAGACATTCACGTCCCCGTACTAACGCGTGATCGGAGTCCAAACATACTTAGAAAGAGCTCCGATCCCCACCGATCTTTTCCAACGATGGCTTATAGCAACATGAACCATCTGTGTCCACCTTTGGTTTAATGTTGGCGGACGCCATATGAGGCAGTGTCTCTCCTTATGCCTAAAGTTAGTGCTGGCCAGAAACAAGTCGATTGGGTTTTGCGTACTACTGGAAGCGTGCGGGTGGTTGACACTTCCCGGCCCCCACATTGAGGAAGGCTATTTCTTCTTAAGGTACCTGAAAGAGAAAAAAATCTGTATGACCGCAGAGGTCATGGGATATCTGCTTGAGGCCTGTCAAACATGATCTATTAAGGGTTGTTGTTTCGAATTTTGGTTATTCTAACGCCGGTAGAGAGAACCTATACCGCCGGCACTGGAAGACCGTGGAGTAGTGAAGAGTATGCTACTTTAGGGTCGACCTTTTCTAAGGCAGCATCAGTGTGTCACTACCAGTCATCCAAAGGGAACACCTTACTACTGTGACACTCCAGCCAGCCAACAGCAGTAAGACTTCGCCCTTAGACCCCCATCATAATGTATTGGTTTACACTACAACAGTAACTGCTTTTTGTCTTGCAGCTATCCGACAGAGCTATCTGGCACGGTAGGACCTCAAGGGAACAAGCGTTCCATCCAGTGTAGCTCATCGGTAATTATGATATAAGCCCGATCACCACATCAAGGCAACAGCTATTGGCTGGGTTCACTACTTGCCTCGACGTGCCATGCTAGGGGAAGCTGGATTGAATAAATGAACGAAATGCACTCAAAAACGTTTTGCACATTCGTAAAGTAAGCAATGAGCCACACCTGCTGCGTGAGAGGTAATGTCACTACTTGGCTGCCCAAACCTCGGTAGGTGGAGCGGTGTTCGAACCCGTGACCCACTGGTTTAAAGTTATCCCCCTAAACCAATGGACCAGAGCTCCTGAAGCTGGGTTAGATTACAAGAGAGTTCAGGGTGACCAGACCAAGACGTGACATCAGTGTATACAGTCTTGATTCTTGTTCTCCGTTGTGTAGTGAGGCGTGGACTGCTGGTCTGGGGTCCTTGAGACGACAGGAATCAGTGGTTGAGGACATGATGAAATGACTGAAAATCGATCACAACAGTGCAAATGTGTTCACTCTCTGATATCTTATAAAGTTTAAACAGTTCCACCAACCCTTTTTTCTATATTCCTTTTCCCATGATACACCTTTGTCTACTTTGATATGACTTTTTCTATCCACCTGTTCTTTGTATACTTTTGTGAAGTGTGGCAACTTGAAGTGATGGACTTGTGTCCAAGGTCCTACGTTGATTTTCTTTGTCTTTGTCCATCTGGCTGCCTTACTAGCTAATAAGAAGCCTATTGTTTTGCAGAATAGATGAGTTTTTGAGCTCAGAATAGCATGTTCTGATACAGTAGTAATCTTTTTGTAGTCAAGTTTATACAGAACTGAATTCCTAATCATCAGTGCAGACTTGAATTCTTGCTCTTCTCTGTTTGTCTTAATCTCAATATTAGTTCCTTTTTGTGGAGAAGTGAAAACTCATATTGGGTCTTTTTCATTCTTCCATTCATCCATTTCAAACTGATGGATCAAATTTTCTCTGTAAACAAAATGCTTGTATATTACTCTCTCTTTTGTCTTTCAAATTGTTCACCTAATCTGAATAGAGTCAATAGAATGAGTAACACTGTGATTACTTATGAAGGTGTGTGTGTGTGTAATCAACTGTCTGCTAATCTTTTTTATTCTTTTTATAAAGCATTGAACAGATAATGAAATTAGACTAATTTATGAATTGTCTTCGATTTTCTACATGACTGCCAACATAATAACTTTTAAAAAGATTTCAGTTAGTAGGGTAAAGATTAAGTGTTAGATTAATCTATTGGTGTAAACGTTAGTTCAGTTAATAGGTTTGTGAAGATTAATTGATTTCAAAATGGTATTCATCGTAAACTGGCATCGAGTGGAGAA